CGCGCGCGCCAACGCACCGTCCCACATATTCCTACAGAACGACAAAGCAAGAGGAGATCGAAGTCCCTCGCGAGACCTCGCCGCGCCCTGCTCTTCGATGATCTGCAGTGCGGGGTCTGGCGCCGGCTCGAGGACGAATGCGAATGCGAAGGCGAATGCGGGCTAGCCCCCGTCGCTGTCACCGCGCGAGTGAATGGGATCTCGGGGCGGGGGCGTCTGATCAGCTGGCAGCTGGATCTGCCTGGGAGGCGAGGTAGCGCGGTAAATCGTGTGCGGGGACGCGAACAGTACCTCGCCCTGGCCCGGCGTCCGTCTCCGTCGCACCGATGCGCGCCGTTCCCCATGCGCCGTGAGACGTGCGGGGGCCCCGGGACCGTGGCCGGTGTCCGCTTCGCGTGCGGGAGGAGTCGTCTGCGCAGAGGGAGATATCGACAGAGCGCCATTTATCGAGGGAACCACGGGTCTGCGAAATGTGACGAGGATGAGAAGAAATAGTGGTGGGGTCCACGTTCTTAACGTTCACTGCGCAGGGCTTCTGACCGTCGGGGACGCGTTCTATGTGGAGCGGGCGTGGATGTATAGGGAGACAGGCTTGCTCTGAAGATCTGTGCGTGCGCATGCGCAATCGCGTCACAGAAGGCTTGGGTGGACGTGACGCCGTCTGTGAGCATGTCTAGAAACCCTCGAATATTCCACTTACTTGACGGGCGGCTTGGAGTCGCTGGTTTCTAGTTTGTGCCAGGATATTGTCGTTTACGGTCCATGCGTGACTGATAACGCCGCTCATTAAAGATAATGTCAGGACAGCTTGGAAAGCGGTCCGATATTGCAGGTGGCAGGCCTCCGCTCGGAATACATTACAACATAACACGCCGCAGCCGGGCCGCTGGATGGACATCACCCCTATGGCGCACATTGCTATATCTCCTGAAGACAAGAAAAAACTGTAATGCCACCGGCATCAGCGCTGCGAGCACGGTGGCGATTGGAAGGATGCCGGACGAACCTGAGCACTTGTTGCGACGACCCGGAGTCCCCGGGATCGCAGTCGGCTGTGCGCTCAGCCACTATGCATGTCGTGCAGATAAACGGGGCACGGGCCTCCGATGGCGAGCGGAAGGGCCGCCGTGCGGGACCGTGCATAGTGATCAACGTTCAACGTGCGCATTGCGTACCTACTGCCACCAGCCCACCGGCGGTTTGTCGTCCGAGCGGATGATCCGGGCGCAATTTTTGCGGGTGGATGGGCGAAAGCATATTCGCCAGAAGGTATGCACCCGAACGACGTGCGGTTGTGTGTGGCGGTATAATGGAACACGAAATTTGCATGCCGGTCGTGGTGGACGCAAGTTCGAACGAGAGTCGCTCGGGTGGAGAGACGCCCATGCCGCGTGGCTGTGACGGCAGAGTCACACGGTATCGAAACTCAGCGTCTGGTTCTTGGTGCTCCACCGCCGGACTGCGTCCGCATCTCTCGACGCTTGCTCCCACTCTCACGCAGATCAGAGTTCCACCTCCGACGCTCACGATAGCGTCAAACAGGCGGCCACCGTATTCAGAGAACGGTCGGCAGACGGCGCCGCAGGACAAGCTGGTGGCGGTACTGGGCCGCCGGACGCAATAAAAGGTTGAAACCATTGATATGTCACAAGTCGCCCGTCAAGTTCGCAGGGCTCGGAGGGGAGTTGTCGGCCGCGCGCGCCCTCCCACGAATAGGGGTTCTCCCGTCCCAGGAACCGCACGGGCCTGCTATGAGCAGGCTGCGGACCAGATAGGCAACGGGTAGCAGGGTCCGCCGAGGAAGTTCCCGGCGAGGGCGCGTCGTTCTGCGCGGAAGGGACGATCGCTGGATCTGGTCGGCGCGAACACAACTGTTTGGCGCGCGCAGAAAGTGGCCGTTGACTTTGTGGGACTCTGGCTGTTTTCTAGAGCACAAAGTGGCTGCATTCGCTGTATTCTAGAGAGCAGAAAGCGCGCGCGCAGACACTGAGGGCGCTTGTTTGGCCGCGCTTTCCTCTTGACCGCCATCTCGTGCTCTCTCGCGGAACTGTCTACTACAAGGGTGCGCGCGCCGTATCTACTCGTCCCTTGCGCATCTCGGTTTAGCTGCCCTGGGCTGACCGAATGTCGGCGTACATAGTTGTTCCTGGGTTCGTGTCGTCGAACCGAAGTCTCCCGGCCCACCCAGAGACTCGAGCCTCCATGCGACCCATACAAACCTTGCACCAGTTCCCGGTCTGCCCCCGGCTCCGCGCCGCGCAAACGGGCTCGAGATCTGCGAATCCACGATGTCGAGCGATCGCGGTGGCGATGCTGGTGTCCTCGCATGTTGACCAGCCGCTCTAGGTCCCCGGCATCCCCGTTTCTCACACTTGGCGCACGACTTGCGCTCATCGAAGGCCCGCCGACCAGCTCCTCGTTTCTGCTCGCAACGGCTCGCTCGCGGCCGCCGGCCAATTCCATATCTGCGCATTCCAGCAGTCAGTGCCAATCTTCAACGTTGAGTCGCCGTGCAGCTGTTTCTCAAAGAATGTACTCACTGTCGCGCTCTGTAGATTCGTCATCCTCCACCGAGTCCTCGCAGTCGCCCTACAGCAGGCCGGCGGCCTGTCGGGGACTTGTCCGAAATTATGCACCCGAGACCGCTCGGTCCAGTAATGGCGGAGCGCGCCGTTCCTCCGCAGCCACATCTGACGGCCGCCGGCGCGCACGGTGCCTCCCGTACACCCCAGGTACGATCTCCTGTCGTCATGTGCACCACTGTCCACTCGCTGAGCCCTCGCAGCTATAGATGTGCCGGACGGCGGCCCTTGCCTATGCAATGTCTGCAACACCGGGCGATCGCCACCAGGGCACGGTGGTGCGCAGGCGGAGTGTCCTCGGAGAGGTCGGACGTTGAAGAAGACGGCGACTCCTCGTCGGTGAATACAACGAAAACGCCCTCGCTGGCAGCAGTGGATGCGGCGACTTTGCGCAGGGGTCTGCATTCAGCACGGGGTATGGCCAACGAAGGGAAAATCCGGACATCGACGCGAGCGGTGTCGTGGGGGAGGCGTCACGCGGGCATTGTGTGGTGCCGTCGACTTGAAGGGCGGCCCCGATGTCATGTAACCTTGGCGAGCACCGTCAAGGCCTCATGAATGGGGGTGTCGCTGGGGTGACTCTGCTGCTGTCACCGAAGTCGGATGAGTGCTCGCACGACGGGCCAGCGAGCGGATGTTGGACAAGAACTCCGGATGAAGACAAGTGGCGCTCTCATCGCTGGGGACCACAAGCTTGCGGCAGTATCCCGCTGCCGCCAGCTTCGAGCGCTGATAGCCGCCGTCTTCGCAGACGAGCAGTGCGGTGTCTGCGATGGCCGCCGGCCGAACATGAGCTCGAACATCTGCCAACGAGAAGTACGTCTGCATATTCGACGCTGAGCTGAAGGGGGCGAAAGCACTCACCATCGGCGTCCATAGATTTGCGTACATAGCATGTCGAGCCCACAATCTGCACATCCTCTCCGCGAAGCTCCGTCTGCAAGTCTTTGTTGGGGTCAAAGGAGTCGGTGCCGTCGGGGACAGTTCAAGTGCGGTGCGGCAAGTGCAGACCCTGCATGGCCGGTGGCGTGGCCCCGCGTGCGTGACTCCGAATGGCTGGCGACACGGTGCTCCATGCTGCATGGTCAATGACCCAGTGAGGGTGCATGGGCACGGTGGCTTTCCGAGTCTCAGGCTAATAGGCAGGCCAGAGGCACATAGGTTGGCGGCTCCTGTGTACAGTCTCCATCAGCACTGACATGGAGTGGGACGTGTGGAATACTCACCTCGATATGTTGGTGGTACTGTGGGGCATGCATGGGGAAGAGAGAAAAGGAAGGGATTGAGGGCCACTACGACTCTCCTGGTGGGTACGGAGGGAGAAGGACAAGTGCAAGGACGGCTGTGTGCAGGCTTCGTCCAGACGATGCCCGTCAAGGCCGAGGAGCGTGGCATTTCCACCTGGGCCTGAGGTGTGAGGGTCGTGTATGCGAGTTTGTCAGAGAATTGACAGTTCCGGTTAAATTGGATATATTTTTGTTCCCTCGGAAGACCAGCGGCAAGCTGGCACAGCTCTTCCCGGACAAGCATGCCCGACTCTAGAGTCACACGAGGCGTCTCATACTCCATAGATCTTACTCACGCAAGAGTCTCTGTCATAAATAAACCTAGACCTGCAGAGAAAGGATGTTTGGATCATGCAGGTCTCCTGCTTGTCCCATGCAACCTTGCTCTACATGTCTAGCTGAATACAAATGTACAAGGCTCATCACAGAAGTGCAATATCAATTGGACATTTCTTGGCACGGAGATAGAAAGGTAAGTACGTGCTCGCGAGATGCACCAGACCTGATAGGCTGTGAAGCCGGCTGAAAGTGACCAAAGTTTGGCCCGCTCCGATCACCATAGCCCTCCCTGCTGTGTTCCACAACGTAAATAGCCAAAAACCCAGATTACACATCCGGCCCTTATATCCCGAGGTGTTTTGAAATGGCAGAAAGCGAGCAAGCTAGACCGTGAACGACGCGAGTGGCGGCCGTAAGGACCCCTGAAAATGCCTATAGTAGGCCGTCCGGTAGACGCCCATGATTTTGGCCCTCCGTGTCCGGTCGATATTTTCGAGGTTTTGGCCTAATTTGTCCGGACTCGCGACCAGGATGCCGTTTTTGCTCGGTGGTGTCCGGATTTTCCGTCCGGCCCCTTCGGGGCCGGGGAGGTGTCCGGATTTCCTGGCCGGCCTCTAAAAACCGCAAATTTTTTCCGGCGCGCCGCCATGGTCTTCAAGCGGACATTATTTCGCGGTTTACAACCATTAGACGTCCAAATCTACCTCTAAAGTGAGGCTGGAGGGTGTGCCCAATGCAGAAAAATTCTACGATTAGGATAATGCGTATGAAGTCTTGAAGCGCCCGCCGGATTGCTACGCCGCATTCTGACATACCTCAGCCGAAAAGCTACAAACGTCAAGTGCACTACAGTGAGTAGTAAGTCCCATCAACAATGGTTCTTACACGGCTGATGATGATGGATAAGCCGGGAACCCTGGAGACACCCCTCCGAAGGGGACCCTTCAGCCTGACCCCGGTGGTGTCCGGACTCTGGGGCCCGGCCGAGGGAGCCCAGAGGCCTCGCTGTCCGGGAAGTCCGGCCGGCTAGGTGACCTTTTGAGGGTCATTTTGTCCGGACTTTGACCCATCATTTGGCCAAAAATTTCTCAGACGCCGTCCGGATGACGAGCGTCTACCGGACGGCCTACTATAGGCATTTTCAGGGGTCCTCGGCCGTATCGATCCTGCACTAGCGCCGCCCAGTTGCCAAATGCGGAATGGGGTGCGTGGTTCGTGAGTGCCTGTGCACAGCGCTCATCTTGCACATCGACCACCAGCACGTTCCTGCCTCTCTACTCCAGGGCCTAGACTACGGAAGTGGGTGCCGTCCCTGGCGGCGACTCTGCACGATCTCCATGCCTGTTTCCAGGTGTGCACATAATGCAACCCGATTCAGTCCTGTTGTTCTGGAGGCAGCGCAGAACACCATTCGCTCAGCCGGCGGCGGTGCAGGCCCAGAATTGAATCACACCTCCATATCCCGCAACATACGGCAGACCGGCGTTGAAGCGAGCACCCTTGAATCGGGTGTCCTCCCATCACGTTTCATCTCCTCCAGCAAGCCCTGCATCACCCATGGCGAGCCAAGCTATCAAGCTGCCCGTGCATTGCTCCATGCGTAGTCCTGGATGCGGGGGTAGACAATTGTCTTGATACCGACGGAATCCGAGCCGCGTGCTTCATTGGCGACGGTGCAAGTGTTGTATGACACATTCAGCGACTTTATCTGCTGCCAGAGCTCATACTGGTTTTCATTTCTGCTTATCAGCCATCTCCGGCGGCCTATGGTGTCAAGCACGAACATGCAAGCAGGTTGTGGATGTGGTTTCGAGGCCAAGAGTTCCGTGCGCCGGATGTTCTGCCAACCGGTGAGTGATTTGCGGAAATAGCTCACTTTGCCAGTCTTCCGGGCATGGCACTTCGGTTTAGATGCGCGCCCGTGCACTATAGGTTCCGTCCGGCTTGCTGCACTGCACGCGCCAGTCTCCCCATCTCCCGAGTCCCAGCACGTGTGCGCGAACTCCCTTGTATACTAATGACAGCCCCAAAGTCTGTCGGCATATACCTCAATGGTGGTCGCTCTGGCAGCCTTCTTGGCATCTTCCATTTTGTTCGAGTGTGTAAATATATTTGACTGGTGCGGTGTTGAGAGCGGTAAACAAATTAGTGACATGCATCAACAGTTTGACATACTTGCTGTGATCTGTAAGCTGCCGATTATACTCAGCGCTCGCGCTTTCGTATCTGAGGAGATCGTGCGCACAGTCTCGGATATCCATGATTTCCGTAGCAGCAAATAGTGCCGAGTCGCTAAAGGGGGCATCCAGTGTGGCCCATGGACCAGCAGCTAGTCTAGGTAGCATGACACATTCCGCCCGTGCTCAAAGCTGCACAGAGGGACTCGGTGTTCTGCCCAGATATCCTGCGCAGAGTTCGTGTTTATCGTAGCACTGAGGATGCGATAGCATTGCATGTAACTACACATTTCGAATAGTAATCAAGTATGTGCTTGCGCTTGCTCCCCAACTTACCCTGCGAGTAAACTTCTCATCCCGCACTGCTGCGTAGTATGCCCGCATCTCCCGTCGGATCCACGCGCCGGTGGTTGCCCCGGAACGTACGAGCGGCCACAGTCGGGGACGACACTCCGCACACACGCCTCAAGCGGTTAGCAGGTGAGAAGGAGTGCCGATGCCGGGGTGCAATGATCCACAGCCCAGGATACGCGCGTCGGCGGGGCGACTCGCGTTCACATTGCTACGTGCAGACGGGAGGTCGCGAGTCGAGAAGTGCGCCGTATGGCATTGGCGTAGCAGAGCGTCAGCGAGACTGGCTGCCACAGATCGAGTGATACACACGTACAAAGACGTGTCGAGTCCCGACAGTCCGAACGGATAGATACGCCGGGACTGTTTGAGCTATGTTGGGCGTGATGCACTGTGTCGGCCCAGGCTGCGAGGATCTCCGATAGCTGTCCACTGACGGCGTCATTAGGGTATCAACGAGTAGGGAGTACGATCGCGCTGTTCCAGAGCCGTCCGCGGAAGGCCGTACAGGGCCTGGTGTGCCATTGACGCGCACCGGCATCAGTCCAATGGGGTATCGGCCTATCCGATGTGCAAGTTCACAGCCCAGGCAACACGGTGATGCGCAGGCTAGGATACGGCGGCTACGACGCGACATGCAGATGAAATCCCGTAGCGACTCATGCGCCATGGGGTACACTACAGCCCGGCTGCCCACCGGTACTCGGACTCGGAGATGTAGAGCACACGCTGTACCACGTGAGTTTCGCGACAAAAGGAAGACCAGAGCATCTGCGAGTTCAGCTACCACAACATGCACGACTCACGCGCGCAAGAAGACGTCGTATCCGCCGGGGCGCGGGCGGAGGAAGATTGCATTCGTCGGATTCGCCTCGCGGTCAAAGTATCACGCCAAGCGTCAAGCGTCGTGCGGGATCTGTGTCATCGTACGTGAGCGCTGATTGCGGATGCACGATGTGCGTCGTACCATCCATAGCCGATGTTTCCCTCATGATGGAGCCTTGCGCGGCACGGCGCGCCGCGTGCGCGCACAAACGATCGCTCGTGGGGGCGGCACGCAGTGTGCAAATGCCCGGGCTTGCAGTCAGGCCACCCGCGCAGCGCCGAAACCGTCCTGCGAGACGTCTCCCTTGCGCTCGAGGAGCCTGTGGGTGCTTCCCCTCCGATGGATCGACGTTTTCGCGGGGCTCGAGACCGGAGGGAGCCGCGACAGAGCGGGCGAGGTACACTTGACCACTTCGACCCCACCGGCACCCCGCAAGACAGCTGATCACCAAACCGTCCGCACGGGCAGCAGACCAGTTCGATCCGGCAGGGATGCACGGCAGATTGTCGACGCCGAACGACGCGGCCGTACGAAGCGAATGCGGGCCTCGCCGCGCGATTTTCTGGGGACCCCGCCAAACCACCCATGAAACCGCCCGAAAAGCCGTGAATATTATGTCGTCGTACGGGGCGGAGAACTCACCCGTTGCGTACGGAATGATGCAGGGCGACGCTCCTCCGCGTTTGGGGGCACACCGGTACACGGTCGAGGCGGGGCCCGATGGTTTGTCGGGCGGGGTGGGGTCCACGGGCAGTCATGCGCCGGCCGCCGCCGCCGGATTGCTGGCTACGACGCCGCCGCCGGCCGCCAGGGACGCGGAGACGTGGAACTAGATGCAATGGGGCGTGATCGCACCACGAGAGAACGTACGGGGACGGCGCGAATTGGGGCGGTATGTCGGGCGGGCCATGGACGTCTATTGGATTCACCACTCGCCCGGGCCGTGTCCTCGTCTCTGCTCCACACGGGGCGCGTACGGGACGTCCCGGGGAGTCTGGATGCGACTCGTATGCGATACAAGAGTCGTATCTTCGAGTTCAATGGGAGGGGAGACCGCGGGGAGCGGCGATGCTGCATTGGAACCCGTCACACCCGACGGTCCCTCCGCGAAACCGCATCGATCGAACCGTCCGCGGGGCGCATGAAACTAGTCGAATTGGATGGTGAACGTACACCGGCGTCCCGACGCAAAGCGACGTTGCCACACAGCTCGGGAGTGGGTCGCGATGCGCATCTTTTGCGGGCACCTTCGAAAACACCAATGAAATCGCGCGAAACGGCGTGAGCAAAATGTCATCATACGCGGCGGGGAACTCACTGGGCGTGTGCGACATGGTGCAGGGGAGTGCTCCTCCGTGTTTGGGAGTGCCCCGGCATGCCGTCGAGGCGGGGGCGGACATTTGTCGCGCGGAGGGGCATAATCCGGTACGCCGAGCGCGCTGAATCGCGGGCCGACGGCGCCCGCCGCGGAGGCGAGAAGCAGGGGGACGGGGACGTGGATAGTGATGCAACAGGTCGCGAGCGCCGCGCGGTACGCGGGCGTGGACGGCGCGAACGCGAGTGGTACGCGTTGCACGGCCCCCGACGTGTGCGGGCCGTGTTCTGTCTCTCCCTGACACCGGGCGCGCGCTGGACGTAGCACACAACGCGCACAGAGGGCGGCCGGCCAGCCAAAGGCGTGTATTCGATGCGTGACCGTGGTTGATACACACTCAGAGCGGCCCGCGCACTCGAGGGGAACAAACGACGTCGAGAGGTGTTCCCAACGTGGACACCCCGGCCGTGCCAATCTCGCCGCGACCGTGATACCGTCCGCACGGCGAGCGAGCATGCTCGGGGTTAGCCCCTCCGCCGAGCTCTGCAGAACATCGCCGCTCACGCGAAAGGCGACTGTGCTCCGGGGAGGGGACGCATCCGGGGACACCGCGGCTGGGCGTCGCGTGTGTGCGCCCTGCTGACGTGCTTGCCGTGACGGCGGAGAACGCGAGCGCGGGCGACGCGGCGCCAGCGAGGCGAGACGAGGCGAGGAGGCGTGGGCGGAGACGCGCGGCGTGATCATGATCCGTGCGCCCATGGGAGCGCATAAAAGCGGCGAGGGCTGGGATGGCGGACAGTCGTGCTGCCCTCATCCTTCGTCTGGTGTGCTCCTCGCTGCCCACTCCGTGGTCAGAACCCTCGTCGTCGATCCTCTCGTTGTTGTCGTCGCCCTCGCGCTGCCTGCCCGCATCGTCTGCGACCTCGCCCCCGAGACAGCGAGGCGTTTTCGTATGCAACTATTGGTGAGCCATCATGGACCGCTGCAGGAGGATGGACACTCACCGTGATGTTGCACAGCACGGAACATGCGTGGCGATGATTGTCGCGGCACGTAGAATAGATGTAGAGCCTACACCTGTAGTACTCCGCGTGAGCTATCGATTGCACCTCCCAGGAGCCCCCCACATACCTTCCACCTGCCTTGCCGTAGCACGCATCCACCGGCCACGAAATATGGTCTTGCATGCTCTCCCGCGTGAGGTTAATACGGCCCAATGTACGAAACCGGGACCTCTGCCTATGCTGGGCGGAAGCACGCCACACGTGTGGATACGGCGCGAGACTTGTGTGCGCGTTCGGCGTCCGTGACTGCTCAAACGACCCGCGCAGCGTGTTCCAGGCGGAGAAGGCGGATGCTCGTGGAAGGTCCACCCTTCGAGGCGTCTCTGGATACGCCGGACGCAGGGCGGCGATATGAAGTAAGGCCGGCGCAGATCGTGCGCGGCGTCGTCGAAGCTGTGGCCGGCGCGCGCAGTTCGGATCTTGGACGTGCGAGTGCTCGCGAGTGAGAGCGCGCGAATGAGTGGTACTTTGACGTACCGGTTCCTGGATGACGGGGTCGCCGTACGGGGCTTGCCGGGTACTCGTTATTGAGCGGTGCTAGAACACGTCGAGCACACCAGCCGGATCTGCCATGGATGCTTCGTTCAGATCCTGGGATGAAAAGGGATTCCACACGTACCGAGATGTGGCATCAGAGTCGATCGACTGTTCGTCTCTGAGCGTCGTCGAGGCCAGGGGCGGTGCTTCGAGTTGTTTGGCGTGACATGTGTCGATTGTGGTCCTCGCATTCGCTCGGCAGGCATGTACGCGTGCGACGCCCGGTTCGCGCCTCGTGAATCAACGCCCAGGCCCTGCGGAGAGCGCTGCGAACAGGAAGGACGGACGGAGGAGTGCGCATGCACGAGTGACGCCCGGACTGACGCCACGGAACGCGAAGAGCACGAGTGACACTAGTACGTAGCGTACAGCCAGAAGGAGCGCGAGGTTGGAGTGCGCCCAGCAGCCTTCTCGCGACTCGTCGAGCTCTCGAAACGCGGCGCGCGAGAGGCAAGAGCGGATGACGCGGCTCAGCGGGAGACAGGCGCCCGGCTAACCCTGACCTCAGTCTTGCACGGGACGCTTGAAGCTGGCATGGACGTCAGGCTTGCAGTTCCGCGTACCCCGGCCGTTCGCTGCAGAATACGTCACCGCGTGCACCTTGGATCTCGGGACGCTGCTTCTCGTGCGCGTCGCGGGAATGACGACTAGAAGGACTTGGATGGGAGGTGGGCGCGGGATCGGCACGGGGGCCCGCTTCTTCACGGGCGGGCGGCTTCGCGTTCTTGGGAGCGTTCCCTGAGCGGGGCGCGTTCGGCGCAGATTCAACGGTGCTCACATGTGTCTGCGCTGGGATCGACGGTGTTCCGGCTGGAGTCGTCTAGCAGGGCCGAGTTCAGATTCGTGTTCGACTTCCAGATTCATAGAGCGCATCCCGGGGTCCTTGGATCTTCTGTCAGGTCTTCCTCGTCTGTGTATGCGCGCCGTCAGTCACAGATGGAGTACAGTATGTGGCAATAGACGCACCGCGTGCGCGCCAGATCTGCGGCGCTGGAACGATCGTGTTTCGACGGACCTATACCATCAACTCAACTCCTCCTGCAGGGGCGGCGGCGGCGATCCGGCGCCTCTCCCAGATGCATATCCGCGCCGAAGCCCTGCACAAGCGAGCGTGTTCGCGTGCGGGCGGCGGTTCTGCGCACGCCCACAACCCCTCACTTCCGACCAGTCGAAGGCGTGCGTCATCAGGCGTGCATCCCGGTGAGCCCACCCCCATGACGGCGGCACCCACCATGTCATCGAAATACAAATACCTGCTGGGCACCCTCCTCGAAGACGAGCGCAAGGTTTCATGCTGCCGTGACACAGCAGCCCGCGCTGCCGACATACGCACCCCAAACCACACCCGCTCTGCGGCACAATATACCCACCGGACGGGCCCGGGGCGTGCCCGTCCCGCCAGCTCGCACATTATGACGGCACGCCTGCGAATCCGCCGCAGAAGCACGCCCGATACGGACATACGGGGCCGGGAAAGGAGGCGCTGCTCCCGCTTCGAGTAGACGGACAACGCTTTTGGCAGGCGCTTCTGGAGGGTTCGGGCGACAGATGCGGTTTGAAGGGAGGTGAGGGAGAACGCGCTGGGCGCGCGGGGTCTACCGGTTCTTTGATGCATTGCGTCCCGAGTCATTTTTGCGGGACACTCTTGACAAGGAGAGCATGCAGGAGAGGTCGCATGAAAGGTGGAAATTGCGGGTGCGGTTCGGATCTTGTCCAGCGACCTGCACTGCTCGCAACCTTGCCCTGCATGCGCACCGGACCTGGCAGGTGCACGGTTAGATTCCGGTGAGACGTTTTACCGTGGACGACTTGACGTGAGCCCTGGGCGTACCTGCTTCGAATTCTATCCCAGCGGTAGGTTATGTCGCCCGCAGAGAAGGAGAAGGAGAAGTGCTGGCCGTGCACCACGGCGTCGTGTCCGAGTAGGGTAGTATGCCTGCCGAATTTGTGCTATGAGATCAATAATTCAGGAACGGCACGAACAGTCGAGAATACTAAGCGGTAGGATCGCGCGCGAGCACCCACAGCAGACGTCGGCCGCTTGGAGCTTACCAGGCCGGAACTCTCCAGCCGCAGGCCCAGCAGCCTGAGCACAGGGAAGCCGCGTACCGTTCACCCTGCCAGATCTGGCAGCGCGCGCGCCAACGCGCCGTCCCACATATTCCTACAGAACGACAAAGCAAAAGGAGATCGAAGTCCCTCGCGAGACCTCGCCGCGCCCTGCTCTTCGATGATCTGCAGTGCGGGGTCTGGCGCCGGCTCGAGGACGAATGCGAATGCGAAGGCGAATGCGGGCTAGCCCCCGTGCTGTCACCGCGCGAGTGAATGGGATCTCGGGGCGGGGGCGTCTGATCAGCTGGCAGCTGGATCTGCCTGGGAGGCGAGGTAGCGCGGTAAATCGTGTGCGGGGACGCGAACAGTACCTCGCCCTGGCCCGGCGTCCGTCTCCGTCGCACCG